ACAAGGGGTAAGACTGTTTGTTGGGTTTTCTTTTCTTCTGGAATATAATCTACTTCATATAAGAACTTAAGCTTAGAAGAGGAGGACTTTTTAAGTACAGGAGATGGAGGAGAGGATAGACTAAAAGAAGATCTAGAAGAAGATGGTTGAGAACTAGAGTTGCTAAGAGTGGATAGATCCATGAAAGTAAGACTCTCTTTTGGCTTTTCCTTTTCCAATTTTTCAATAATCAAATCTTTTAGAAACATACTTCTCTTCTCACTATCTTGGCAAGTTGTTAGGCCTGATACCATTTATACACACAGCGGCAGGTAGTACGACCAAGGCTCTGGCAACTGACACGGCATCAGTTTCGGGCTCTCCGAGTGGTAGAGTCCTGACAATACTATCTGGTACTATGACAACAGCGTGAAGATCGATCAAACTTGGCAAGATAATACCAACGATAAGCTTTCCATAGATCAGACATACAACCAAGGTATTCTAGCCGGTGTTCAAGACTCTGGCGCCTTCTTGGCTTAACGTCGAACTGGGGGCCTGACTTTTATGGAGATATGTCTTTCACTATAGTAACTTACTATTAGTATGATCTTGGGACGGTATGACTTTTCTTTAGCTGAGGAAAAAGGTTCAATGATCTGTTTAACAGATTAACAAGAGTTTCTGTTGCAGAGGATCCATAATAATATGGCAACTGCAGAGCATACTCAACTTGTATCACTGCAAACTTTTGAATAGATTGAAGAGGAATGATGAAGCTGAAAGATGTAACTATGAAAAAAGGAAGATGGAAGCACCAAAAGAGAAAGAGAGGTTTTTAGCCAAACATATTTTTAGATAGGAAGGTTTTTCTTACAAGAGAGAGGTTTGAGTTTTTTTCTCGATTCTTACTATGCTTAGATTGATTTTTCTCGATGATTCCTTCCTAGAGAAGTATCATTCTATTTATACATGAAAAAGTAAAGGACTAGTAGCCTAATAAGACGAGACTAGGACAAAGTAACTTTACAAGTGGCTTAGGATAAGACTAAAGGACGATGAGTCATAACTAAGGTACAATGACTCATAACTAGGGTACAAAGGTCCATTATTATGGTATAGTGACTCATCACTTAAGGTACAGTGACTAAGCACTATGACTCATACTAAAATACAAAATACATTATGACTTGACTAAGACATAAAGGTGATGAAGACTTGACATAAGGTTGTCTTGATGTGAAGGCATCATTATCAACTTCTGTGGAGTCTTCTGGAGAAAACTGAAATTAACACGCTTAATTATACAATATTTGGACTGGAGAGGGAATCTTCTATCTTGTAGCACCATCAGTGTCATCATTCTGGGAAATCTTCTAAGAAATCTTCAAAGTACTGAAGGACTAGAGAATCATCTACCCATCGGAAGAGTTCTTGTTCAAAATTATCAGGAGTAGAATCACAACATTGGAATAAGTGATTGTAAATTCTGTGTTCAAATCTTGCTCGAAGTCTGGAGAGATCTTCATCATTCTGCCAGTAAGGATTTGTTGGAAGTTCTGCTAATTCTGAAGGACAGTGAAGATCAAAATTAACAAGTCTGTGTGATAAATCACTCCACCAAGTGTCATAAGGTGGTTCAGGAATCCAATGTGCCAGGTGAATGTGTAGTTCTTGGATGTATTCTGGAGGGTACCACCACCATGGTTCTTTCTTGAAAGGAGGAAGTTCTGCAGGGACTGGGAGGTTGTTGATTTTGCAGAGTCTTTTTAACAGGAGCTTGTATTCTTGAGCATAGAGAAAGATAGAGTTGTACAGAGAGTAGGGATTACACACATACATGTCTGAACAGGGTTGAAAGAAAACATAATCTTCAGAAAGGTCACAAGGTCGGTGGAAGAAGAAGATAACATGGTAATGGGAAGGAAAGTGTTGGGTGAGAGAAAACCAAGTATGGAGGGGTTTAAACCACTTCAAAAAGGTTCCTAAATGAACATGAGCTTCATAAAGGAAGTCATTATTAGTGAAAGTGATTGTGGCAAAGTTGAGTTCAAAAGAGTTAAACTCAATGGCAATGGTGTAGAGTTGGCATAAATACCATAAAAGAACTAAGGCTTCTTTGAATAAACCTGAGGTATGAGGGATCTGAAACAGGTGTAGAAAAGGGAACTGAGGATGAAAACCAATAGGTTTGAGACCATGATACCATTTATACACACAGCGGCAGGTAGTACGGCCAAGGCTCTGGCAACTGACAGGGCTTCAGTTCCGGGCTCTCCGGGTGGTAGAGTCCTGACAATACTATCTGGTACTATGACAACAGCGTGAAGATCGATCAAACTTGGCAAGATAATACCAACGATAAGCTTTCCATAGATCAGACATACAACCAAGGTATTCTAGCCGGTGTTCAAGACTCTGGCGCCTTCTTGGCTTAACGTCGAACTGGGGGCCTGACTTTTATGGAGATATGTCTTTCACTATAGTAACTTACTATTAGTATGATCTTGGGACGGTATGACTTTTCTTTAGCTGAGGAAAAAGGTTCAATGATCTGTTTAACAGATTAACAAGAGTTTCTGTTGCAGAGGATCCATAATAATATGGCAACTGCAGAGCATACTCAACTTGTATCACTGCAAACTTTTGAATAGATTGAAGAGGAATGATGAAGCTGAAAGATGTAACTATGAAAAAAGGAAGATGGTAGCACCAAAAGAGAAAGAGAGGTTTTTAGCCAAACATATTTTTATATAGGAAGGTTTTTCTTACAAGAGAGAGGTTTGAGTTTTTTCTCGATTCAAGAAGCTTTTATCAGCATCGATCTGGCATTCTTTGCATTGACAATATATGTCCCAATAGCAATGTCCTGTTGGAGATTTATATGCATACACGGAATTTCCATTGGACTGAAAGTGTGTGACTGGAACATTAAGGAGATCAGCATGGCATCTTTGCATCATAACAAACCCAAAAATCTACAAATCGTTTACCATCAACTGAAAAGAATATCTTACTAAAAGTTTCACTTGATGCTTCCTTTTTTATTGATTATTTTTGTCGATTGTTTTTTATTTGGGGATTATGAATTGTTGTGTTATTTGTGTGGTTGATTTTGCCGCTCTCGTGTTTCCTTTTTTATTGTAATTACTGGCTAAAAGAATTGGTCTCTGTATTAATTGTGATTCAGCTACTGATTGCTGGATTTCTACGATTGAAATTGTTGTTGAATTCTTCCCCAATTTGGTAAAAGGAATCTTAAAAATTATGCCTAGATTTTTGTTGATGAAATTTCCTTCGTCGCATGTCGTTTTATTTGTAAATATAAAGTTTTAAAAAGTAATTATAAATATTAATTTTTAAAAAATAATTTAAAAAGAAAACAACTAGTTTATTTTAAAAAGTAATTTTTATTTTTTATTTTATGTGCGATATGAGCCCCACTTTGATGTGGCTTGCTTATTTGGACTGCAATGAGACATAACATTTATTCATTGAAATAAAAGCCTCGCCAATTTTTTTATTAACAGAGTTAGTGATTGATGCAAAGTGTACACAAAATACAAATTAAGATATCAAATTGTGAATTTTACCTTTTAGGAATCAAATCGTGAAAAACACTATAGTTTAGGGCCAAAATTCACATTAACCAAAGAAAAATATATAGAAGGCGCATGCTAGCTAGATTTGATAGTTCGAATCATTATATTATATTTTGCGTTAAATATAATTTCAAACATTATAAAAATAATTTTGATATAAATATGAGATAAATATTTAAATAACATAAATAATTAAAATAAAAATACAATATATTTATTATACATATTACATGTAATATGATACGATTTATATTTTTTAATTTGTTTTAATAATGAATAATATAACATAATACGATACAATTAACATAATTATATATAATTAATATAATTAAACATATATTAATATTAAAATATATAATCAAATATATCGACACAATTAATACAAAAAAATTATCATATATCGTATATAATATTATATTACAACATAAATAAAAATCTGATAAGATTTACTTACGTGGATGTTTAGGTGGACAAATTATATTTTTAACACGTAAGATATTTTCAAATAACTTTATTAAATCAATTATTTATTTTTTAAAAATTTTAAAGCTTCAAAATTTACATTTATCAAAATCTTTCCAAATATATATGATTTATCTTTATTTAAATCTAATAAAATTTATCTTCTCATATTTCACTCTTATCCAATTCAAATAATTTTTAAAGGTTAAATTTCTGGATCCTAAAAATCATAAAAAAAAAATTATACACAGTTTAAATTAATATTTATATAAATTTAAATAAATAAAATTTATGATTGAATCATTGTTATTTATCAATTTTTATTTTTTTATAGTTTAAAATTAAAAAAATATTTTATTTAAATTCAAAATTACACATATATCGAAATTTAAAATTATACTAACTTCTTTTATCTTAATTTAAAATTAAACTTAGATAAATTAAATTTTTAAAAATTTAAAATTTTTTAAATTAAATAATTATTAAATATATATATTTATGATTTTTTCTCACAATCAATATTATTTTCTTTTTGTCATAAAAATTTGATAAAATAAAGTTTTAAACATAAATTTGATATATCACATGTGTAAATTTTAGTTTTTATACTAAAATAATTTATACTTTTAAAAAATTTATGTAATTATGAATAAAAGATTAATTTTTTTATTGATATTTGAATATAATTTTACTTTCATAATTTAAAACTTTCATAATACTTATTTAGATTCTTTCATAATAATTTATATATCGATAATTTTTTTAATTTTAAACTACAAATTATAAATAATTATGATTATTTTTATTTATTTATATATAATATAAAAATTAATATAAATTAAAAATTTAAACTAAAAAAAACTATAATAAAAAACTCCATGCATGGATAAAAAAAAACTAGTTATAAAAATATATATATATAATTTATTACGTATGGTATTATCGTGTTACCAGGTTTAATGTTAGCCACGTCTGCGTAAATTGGACTCAACCCAAGTCAAGAGAAAACGTAGATAAAAGGAAAAGACCTCCAAGGTCTACTTTTACAATCGGTTCAATTCAATAAATAAAGATTGAATAACGAAAATTTAATATCAAATTGAAAAAAAAAATCAGATCGAAATTTGAAAACCCCAATTGTTCGAAGTCAGCCGGACAAGAATTATAAATGGCGAAGCTAAGCTGCGATTTCCGGTTCCTTCTCATCCCTGCTGCAATCGTGTTCATTTACATCCAGGTAAAAAAAAAAAAAAAACCCTTGCTCATTTTCCTTTTCTTCTCGATATCATCGAAATTCAAAATTTTCTAATTTACATATATGAAATTTTATACTTGTTTCGAACATTCTGTAGATGCGGCTTTTCGCAACCCAATCTGAATATGCTGATCGAATAGCTGAAGCGGTTAGTATGTTTCTGTTTATTGCTTGTTATAGCTCTCAAAAACTTCAGCATTTTTTTTAACTCAGTAAAACCCAAGGAATATGAACAATTTATGTGTTGAACATCCGTCTTTTTCATTCATATCTTGTCTTGTTAAATAATGAGGCTTTTTACTCTGTTTGAATTTGACAGATGGATGCAGAGCACCATTGTACTAGTCAAATGCGACTACTTATTGATCAAATAAGCATGCAACAAGAACAAATTGTGGCCCTGGAAGGTGTAAATTTCCCCATTTAATCCTTTATACATGCTTCTTTTCAGTAGACAAGGTTAAAATTATCATTGTTTTTCGTAGTATTCGATTCATTCTCTCTGATCCTGTTACATTTTCAGAGGCAAAGAAGCGAAAGGAGCAGGAGTGCACACAACTGAAGGCTCTTGTTCAAGATCTTGAAAGTACTTCCTATCAGAATTAAACTATTTGTTTCTTGTTGTTCCTTACTTGTTGCTTTGTGACTACTATTTTATTTTGCTTGATTGCAATTATATATTTCCTTGGAAGGTCCTTCTATGGTTTCCAGGCGTACATTAAGGCATTGCTTTGTAAGAAGGATAGAAAGGGATAAGGATGGAAAAGCTTTTAAATCTAATGGTTAGGTTTCATAACCATTTTTCTACTTTGTAGCTTAACCTTTGGACACACTTTTCCTCCGTTACCCCTTTCTATCCTTCCTACCAAGCAAAGCCTAAGTGATGTTCAGGTCATATGATCTTCGAAAATTGTGATCTATGTAATTATTGTAGTTAATTTATGTGACTGATTTGCTGTTTATGAAGACCTTTAATTGCAAATAAACTTCATTTCCATTTATAAGGTTGTTATCAATGTCATTGCATCACCCACTGAATGTAGGTCTGTAGCTGGGTCTTGATGAAGGCTATTCTGCTCCTTGGTCAATTTAGTTTGGCATTTATTTCATACTTTTCTCTAATTATTTTTGCAAAGCATCTTTAAATTTGTTCTAAAATGTGTATTTGTTTATTGGTTTTTCATGTCTGTACTCACCAGTCTTTCTTTTGTATTATTCCTTCAACTAAGGCTTTTTCTGTCATTTGGCACTTGGAATGTTTTATAGACACTTAATATTCTTTCCTTTTGGTTGTTTCAGAGAAAGGCCTTCAAAGAATAATTGACAAAACACAGGTTCGTGAGATGATAAGAATTCTTATACATTATCTCCAAAAATAACCACTTGTAATAATTGCAACCATCTTTGGGTTGAATGTCTTAGGTTCCAGTGGCAGCCATTGTAATCATGGCATGCAATCGCGCTGATTATCTGGAAAGGACTATTGCTTCTGTCTTAAAGTATGTTTATGTTGACATCAGTTTGATTTGATAACTTAGTCTGTTTGACCAGATAGTAGGTAATTTTAAGCTGACTTACTTTGGTTTATATCTCTGCAGGTATCAGAGCTCTGTCGCATCAAAATATCCCCTTTTTGTGTCTCAGGTATTTGTATTTACAATCTTGTTCTTTATTTGCAAATAAAAGGTTTGCTTTGTCTATTTGATTTGATTATCACCATTATATATCATGCATAACAAATGCATGACTGTTCTTTTGTTGTCATTAAAAAATCAATGCGTCTAATTGTGATAGTTTCTTCTCAGGATGGATCAGATCCAAATGTTAGAAGTAAGGCTTTGAGTTATAATCAGCTAACTTATATGCAGGTAAATTGTGTTTCTCTCTCTTCTTCCCCCTCTTTCTCCCTGTTGGAAAAGTTGATTTGGATGAGTCCTTTTCCTTTTTCCTACCCTGTTCATATGATTTATCATATCCTTATTTATTAAAATCAATACAGTGAATGCTTACTTCAGTTTTCTTTCAGCATATAGATTATGATCCAGTGCATGCAGAAAGGCCTGGGGAATTGATTGCATATTACAAGATTGCTCGTAAGGATTGCTTTCTCTTTTTTCTTGATGTTCACATGGCTTCTACTAATATCAGCTCTTAAATATTTGGTTTTTTGAGGTCACTACAAATGGGCATTGGATGAGTTGTTCTACAAGCACAATTTTGACCGAGTAATCATACTTGAAGGTGAAGTTCTCTTCTTTTGGATTATTGCTTCGAATTTTCTTCTATGTATCATTTCTTATGACAAAAGGAACATTGTTTTGACTGAGAATCACTTTTGAAGACAGATGATATGGAAATTGCCCCTGATTTTTTTGATTACTTTGAGGCAGCTGCAGCCCTTCTTGACAAGGATAAGTATGTTACATGAATGAAATCAGGCTCTCCCTCTGTTTTATTCTATTTGAGGGTTTGCGATCTTTTTCCTTCCACCCTCATGTTTTTGTTATTATACTGTGGTAGGTCAATTATGGCTGTGTCTTCATGGAATGACAATGGGCAAAAGCAGTTTGTGCATGACCCATGTAAGTTTTTCTCTCAATGGAATTTCATTTCCAGGAGAACAATCAAACTTAATGCTTTTTTATGTTCAAAATTTGGTTGGTTTAATAAAAATATTGTTTGTTCTAGCTTCCATGACTTTTGATGTTCTATGCTATTTCTTAATCCTCCCATGTGGTGCTTACTGGAAAATTTGGGGTGGACTGTGACTGAGGCAGAGCTTTTAATTTTATCCTGACTTCGTTTGATTGTTTGCTCATTTTCCAGGCATCTATCTCTCTCTTCATGTGTAACATGTACTTAAGTTCTGTCATTATGCAATCAACTTCTGGATGACTTGCCCACCCTTGATTTTGCATGTTCATGCTTGAACGAGATTATGAATTTTAATAGAAACGAAAAAATTTTGGTGCTTTCTATTTCTTAATTTGCTTGTAATTGTTCCATTTGCAGATGCACTTTACCGCTCAGATTTCTTTCCTGGTCTTGGCTGGATGCTTACTAGATCTACATGGAATGAGCTGTCACCAAAGTGGCCAAAAGCATATCCTCCTTGGTTAAGTATACTGTTATTTCATTAGATTAGACTAATGCACATTGATGTAGTTTCATCCATGAATTTCCCTGACAAAAGTTCACTTACTGGGATGACTGGTTGAGATTAAAAGAGAATCACAAAGGTAGACAATTCCTTCGCCCTGAAGTGTGCAGAACATATAACTTTGGTGAGCATGTAAGTATCACCTTGTCATTGAGAAGATTTCCTGTTTAAAATTGCAGTGACGACAAATTTTATGAATGGTGTTAGCTTTGATGAGAATGTTTGCTTGGTAGACCAAACACCCATATGCTTGTCTTTCTTGTGGATGGGAACTAGGTGGAGCAATGAATGAGGCACATAGTCCATGTGTTTTCTGTTGAGAATTTTATGTGTGGTGATTTCTGCTGCATTGCTCTGCAAGAGTGTACAATAAATTTGGACGAATATAATACATCTATGGCTTCAGTTCTTTCTATCTTTTTAAATTGAAGAGTTTTGTTATTCAACTTTTGGAGCAACTTGTTTTCATGCTTAAATCAAATTTAGATTCCCACAAATTTAGGTGCGTTTTCATCCCTCATGAACTCAGCATAGGCAACTTCAGCAATTTTAAATTTCCTCAAGAGAGGGTTTTAATATTTTCTAGATTTTCGGATGGACCTTTACATCTCCCTTTTACAACTGTGGGCTCATTTCCTGTTTTCCGATCTTTGATTTCAATCAGGGTTCAAGCATGGGGCAGTTTTTCCGACAATATCTTGAGCCTATTAAGATGAATGACATTAAGGTTGGCATAAAATTTTTTTATAATTCTCTTTAGAATGTGAAATTTCTGTACATTCCTATCATCATCATCACAATAATGTTGCTTTTGTGTGAAAGGTGGACTGGAAGTCACAGGATTTGAGCTACCTAATGGAGGTAAAATCAGTGGAACTGGAAACTGCTTTTTCCTTATCTAATTTTTACATTTGTTATGTATAATTGTGTTTTCTCCTTTCCAGGACAAATATACGAAATATTTTGCCAATATTTTGAAAATGGCAAAACCGGTCTCTGGTACGGATGCTATTCTTAAGGCATCTAATATACAAGGTGACGTGCGTATTCAGTATAGAGACCAATCAGACTTTGAACGCATTGCTCGACACTTTGGAGTTTTTGAAGAATGGAAGGTAAATTATTCATATGATATTTGGGGTGTTTTTCTTTAGTTTATTTGTTATGAAAATGCCCTGAATTTTTGGTGGTAATAGCAGAGAAAATGCTTGCATTATGATAACTGGTTTCTGTAGCTGATACTTGATTTTTGAAAGTCGTGTTTAGTACGCTCCAAACGTTTGTTGGATATGTGGTTTCTTAACCGAATACCATTTTAGCCTATTTACTATCAATTGCATGTAGTCTTTGCCACAATTTTACTTTTGTTTTACCTGATCATTTATTGTAATGAGACACAACGTACAGCCTTTGATACTGTTGAAATGACCTTTCTCTCTCACACACGCTGTCAGCTGATGCACGATATGTAAAAAAGGACCTTGATTTTAAAGAACATTGCTGTTTTACTTCTGTTGTTGCAGTACAAATAAACCACAAAAATTTTTCATATGCGATTTGTTCCATTCTCAATTCTCAGAAACTTTATTGCTTCATTATTTAGGATGGTGTACCGAGGACAGCATATAAAGGAGTAGTAGTTTTCAGATACCAGCCACCAAAACGTGTATTTCTTGTTGGTCCTGACTCTCTACGGCAGCTTGGGATTGAAAATGCTTGAAAACTAAAAGGTTAACAACCATGTCTAGTTTTGGTGATTTCTTTTTATTTTATAATCATAGCAGTTACTGAAGCTGGTATGTCTAGTTTTGATGATTTCCGTTTATTTACTGATAATGATTGTAATCTTTGGTTTGGTATGCTCAGTGATCCTGATGAAATATTTACAAATGGCAGGCAGACGAATATTTATGATGGAGATAAATACTGGTTTAAATCAATTTTCTCCATTAAAGATTGACATGAATACATCCACACTTGCGCAGGCATTCGGTTCTCACATATAGTAGGCACTGAAGAGGTCTTTGATTTTTGTAGGTTATGATGTAATGACTTCATCTTTTGTAATTTGTTTTATTTGATAGTTACATAGTTCTTCCATGTGAATGTAAAAGTATGATAAATCCTAACAGATTTTTTTCTGGTGAAACCTTTTATTTGAAAAAAGAAAATCAAAGACTAGTAAAAATGAATTATATCTAGAAGTTCCAAGATGTAATCTGGAATTGTTTAAAACATTTTATTTTCTTTCATTTAGTAAACTAAACCTTTCTAAAATATTTTGATGGAAAAGAATATGTAAAACAGGTTAAAGGAATAGACTTGTGCTTATGTCATCTTGCTCGGTAAGACTTCCTCGTCCATAAGAAAAAGAAATGGTTTTGGGTTTATAAATCATGCATTTTCGTTCTTTCCTGGTAATACATTTGGATTGAAATCGTGGATCCATGACAAGTAATAGGAGGGCAGATTTAACTCTTCACTGGTGTGAGGCTCTCGTGTTGTATTGGGGGAGGGAAAATGTCACGGATTTCACTTCGATAAGCCTATGGGTGATCTTGAGATAAATAATGAGTCTTCCTTTCTACCTAATAAGCATATGTTTTGAGTTGAAAACGTTGTAGATTGGTGACATCTACTGTTCGTTCTAACAGTGATTCGTTGTAGAAAATTCCTTGTCAGAAAGGCCTCCACCATTTTCATAGGCTTTGGGCCACTAGAAACCCATTGGAAAGTCATTGTCCAAATTGCTTCCAATCCTTTGTAACAGGCACAACTTCTCGACCCTTAGTTGATTGAGCTAATCCTAATACTAAAACCCAACAGCCCACTCTACGAAAGCCTCCTTCCCTCGTCCCAACTCCGGCGCTATGACCATTCTTGTTTTGTATCCAACAAACCAATCCCTGAATAACCTCCACGAAACCAACCAAACAGACTGAAAATGTTAAAACCCCTTCTTCCGAAGAAACCTAACAAAACTGCGTTACTTCTCTTTTTCATTCTCTCCTTCGTTCCCTCCAACTTGAAACTCGCTCAAGCTTTCTCTAACTATCAACAATGGTGGCTCGATTCTCACTAAAAGACCCAAAAAAACCAAATTAAAAGCGTTGAAATCCTAGGTCAACAACTCCTCTCTTCGCGAGCTCACATCAACAATCTTCCTCTCCTACTCACCTTCATCTCCCCAGCGTCGCCTTCTCAACACGTTCTTGAATCGCTCCTCTGGCTGCAGTCCTTCACCACACTGCTCCCTGGCCTTCCTCCCTCTTCATTGTCAGCAAAACGGCGACATTTCGACGGTTCAGCCGAGGAGGATCCTGAGTTTATTTACAGGAAGTGGCTGAGATCAAAGTTCGATGAGTTCGTTACGTTGTTGATTGAAGTTTTGCTTTCACCGGAAACCGAAGAAGCTTTGAGAGTAACAATTTCTTTTTTCTTTTTTTTGTTCGTTTTGTCTTCTTAAATTTGAAACTGACAGCAGCGTTTTGATGTATTTTCTTATTAAGGAAATTGTGTTGGATTCGTTCATGGAATTCGTGAAGCTAGCAAATGGGGGAAGGTTTTACTCCGCTATTTACCACAAGTTATTGCGCAGTATTGTAAGTTTTCTTTGCTTGGCATCCATAGTTAAATTTATGTTTCTATGGTTTTTATACTTATTTCATTTACTTTTTTATTATCAGTTTGTAATTGGTTATAATATTTCCAGGTTCACTCTGCAACACATGTTGAATTTTTATCAGAGTTGCTTGCATCTAAGTATTTTAAGTATATTGATGTCCGGTATGATTTCGAATTTTGCATGTCTTTGTAAATGCCTAATCTAACATGTTGTTTTGAAGTTTCATTATTTTAGAAATGGTTAAATCCTGTCTGTGTTCCAATTCCGTTCTCTTTTTCAGTTTTGTATGCTATATTACATTACACGTTATTGTTATTGATGGAAGAGGTGATAGTGCATTCTAGTTGTAAATTCAGTTGTTTTCTTACTTTTTCAATCTTCTTTCTTGATGGCTTTCCTTCCACAGCACAAATTTGTAGTTGCTGAGATTTTATGTCACATTCTGTATTTTCTTGGAAAAGAGTCATTTCTTGCTTGATATTAAGTGGTACATTAATTTTTGTGTCTCACAGGTATGTAACCTTCATTAGCATGGAAAAACTTGCTAAAACATTGGATGCAAAAGATATCCTTGGTACCTTTTAGACAAAGTCTCTATTCCAAAATATATTTCTTCAAATTTTCTTTGTAGAACTTTATTTGATTTATTTTCCTTTATTATATCTGGTTTAGATGACAAAACCGTGGGTGGAGATGGTAACAGTGGAAGTCAATCAAGAGAAAGGTTAGATTTGGCCAGCATTTCGTAAATATCTTTGCGAATTACTCTTTTTCTACTCTTATGATGTGGTTTTGCAAAATAAAACTACTTAAAAATCTATTTTGCACTGAATAATGAACTTTGGAATGACAAATGAAATTGCGACTTCCATTGTAGTCAATTACTTAATCACCTCTTTCTTTGCTTGAAACTGTCACTTTGTCACCAGTTTACTTTACCCTTACAATTACCTTATGTTCACCCGTGTCATTTTTACTGTTGGTTGTTATAATTAAAATACAGAATGGAAGGTTGCTGAATTGCTTTTCTGCTTTGTTGCAGCATGGAGCTTTCTATTGACAAGATACATTATATCATATCTCACATCGCCCCTCTCGAAGACAATGATGGAAAATTTGGGTATGAGATGTGGAGTGGATCTGGTGATTCTTTTTGTCTTCTATATTTAGAATACTTGTTCCTTAGATATTTTATTTTGGATTTTAATTTTGGAAGAATTTTTCTGTTGATCGTCATCTAGCCTTGACTGTGAGGAGATTATAATTCATTTCTTTCCTTCTGCCTGGATGACACTATTAATATGGAAAATTTTCTGATTTTAGTCTTTTTTGGATTCCCTGTGCTTGATGAGTAGTGTGAGTCATCTTAGAAAGTTGCTGATAATTTGACACAAACTTCCCTTTTAGTAAATGTGCTTCTTTATTGATCAAGCAAAATTTATTTTCTTTTTCTGTATTAAACAGGATTTTCATCTAAAGAAGAACATGATCAGAAAGAGCTTTTTAAGCTTCAAAAGGCAGAAGATAAAGATCTTAAGACTGAGAAACGAAACGATGATGTAAGTTATCAATTACTTAGAGAGGCATATGTTTCAATGCCATCATTTCCTTTTAGATTTAGTTGCACATTAGCAGACAGTCTGTCTTTTTTGCTTATTTTAATTGACACTTTGCAATATTAAGTTGTACCTCTTTATGTGGGTTTTGTGGGTTGGAATATGGTGCATGCAGGTGTTGTCTCCAGCCACTATTGCCAAGAAGATGAAACTGAAGTTTACTAAAGCATGGATTTCATTTCTTAGACTACCAATCCCTATAGATGTGTACAAGGAGGTAAATACTACAGCTCTTTTACTCTCTTGCACTGATATTAAGTGCTTGCTCCCTGGCCTCAGCATTGGTGGTAGGCTGGGGTAAGGCTTAAATTGATTTTGTTATATCTGTCTATATGCATCTTCTACTCTGCTAATATGAGATGTGGATTTTCTTTTGCTTGTTCTTATTCGGTCCTCCTGCCTGCTATTTCTCAGGTTCTTGCTACTCTTCATCAGGCAGTCATCCCTCATTTGTCTAATTCTATAATTTTATGGTAAATTAATCTAATGCCAACAGTTTTATCTCTTATGGATGCAGCATCGTAGTTATCTGATTTATTAACTATAACATGCTGTTACTTCTTAACAAGATCATATGGCATTGGTGGTGTTGTTAGTGTCATGGCACTTAGCAGCCTCTTCATCCTAATGACACAACATGGTCCAGAGTACCCCAACTTCTATGAAAAGCTTTATGCACTTTTGGCACCTTTCTTTATGGCAAAACATAGAGCCAAAATTTTTCAGGTAATACAAAATGCTAACTTTCTCATTGTTCTCTTTTAGAAGTTCACTATTCTGTCTCCAGAAGGCAGTAAAATTTAGCTTTAAATTAGATACTGGAAATATTTTCTGTAACCTATTTATTGTTGTGACAAGTTGATAGTTCCATTTTGATAATAATGCAAACAGTGAAACTACATCAAACTATTGAGATACTTTAAGTGTACCTAGTTTTAACTTTTGATACTAATTTTAAATGTATTTTCTGTGTTAAATGTTAGAGGCTGACATCATCATTGATCCAGCAACCATTTCATTCATGGTTAACATTTCAATACGTCAAAATTTTGACATTTTAGTGTTCTTATGGTTCCTGGTTCTTTCTGTTCATTTCTTTGTTTTCAGTTGTGCTCCATAAACTACTTACTGGTGTTAAAAGAACAAGACACATAACAATGCTTCTTGTTTTAAGCATTAAGATTATGAGCATGGTTGTCTGTCCCTTATCTAGAATATTGCAGGATTTTGGAATCAACTAAGAAGTTCTGTTGCTTCAGTTACTATCTTCTAATTTAATATGATTTCTTCCTTGTTTTGCAGCTTCTTGATTCTTGCCTGAAGTCACCACTTCTTCCAGCATATTTGGCTGCTGCTTTTGCTAAGAAATTAAGTAGACTGGCAGTTTCTGTCCCCCCCTTCTGGAGCATTGGTTATAATAGCTTTGATTCACAACCTTTTACGTAGACATCCATCAATTAACTGTTTGGTGCACAAGGTATCAGTACAATCTTATTATTTTAACAAATATAGTTAATCTATTTACTCCATTGCATAATCATTGTGCAATAAAGTTTATCAAATTGGCTTTGTACTAGTGTTTTTCCAAGGGAAATGAATTTCTTTTTTGGCATTGTAGGAAGATGGTGCCAAAATTCCGAAGGATAATTCAAAAGCTGAGGATATAGTCAGTAAGGCAGATGATTCTGGATCTGACACAGATATTTCTCACAAAAGACCTGGTATTGATCATTTCAATAATGAGGAGAGCAATCCTATAAAATCTAATGCCATGAGTAAGCATCTTTTCAGCCGGTTTGCCCTTGACTTCCCTAGGGTACTTTGATTGTTGAATTTATATATCCTTTTACCATCATAAATGGATGGAATATATTTAGTGTAAAGGATATAGTTTGACAAAGAACTATTGTGCATTCTATGGGAAAATGGAAGTTTCTACTTAATGACTGTGACAACATATAGATTTTGGATTCTCTTTCTCATAGATTCAACATTTGATAGTTTGCTATTAACTCCCTGGGCAACGATTCTTTTTATAGTTGAGTGCATCTCTGCAGGACATAAATTTCTTGTTGTCACCATATTATTCTTTCTTGTCAAAATAAATGTATTTTGCTTATCATTTTTTCTTAACTGATTAACTTGGGAAGTTGTGGTATTTTCCATGTTTCAATTTGAATGGGAATTGGGTTTCATTTGATAATATACAGAAAATTCAAGCTTTCTGATAACCAAGTAGGCTTTGCAAATGAGACAAATCATGAATGTACAATGTTCCACTGTGCAACTTAATCCTCAAATGTATATCGTTTGTGATTGGTCACACCAATATGCCATCTAAGCTTTGAGTGGACATTCCTTTATTTGATGAGATTTTATATAGGTCGATGTTTCTTGAACAGGAAGTTCACTTTGGGAAATAGATACCCTTCATCATCATTACTGTCCGCCTGTTTCAAGGTAAGAACACTTATCTATCCTTCCGAACGCGATATGCATATGATAGCTGATGTTTTCATTTTCCTTGTTCTTTTAGATTTGTTTTGGCACTGGAGAATGATTTGACAGTTAGATCCAAGACCGCTGAAATGGACATCAAAGATTTTAGTTCTGGTTCATATGCAACAATATTTGGAGACGAGGTAATACCATCTTTATCCTCTTTGGTCAATTTGTGAATAAGGTTTCATGATTCGTTGCTGACATCTATTTGTTATTTAAACATGCTACATGCAAATTTAAAAATTTTTCAATTTAAGAGTGCATTTTTTTATATTAGGACAGGCTGCCATTAAGTTGACATTTTCATTATTGTTTATATATTAAGGGAATGATTCTGGTATGCACCTTCAATTAATTCAATTTTTAATTTTTTTAAATTACAGATTCGGCGTCGGGTAAAGCAGGTTGCTTTGGCATTTTATAAAGCAACTCCAACCTCTTTGTTTCCTGAGTCCAAATTTTCTGGTTGGACGTTCGAATACAAAGAAAGCAAGGAAAATGACACTGGAAATAAGGAGCAGAGCATTGCAAATACATCTGAAGAAAACAATGTTTCTACAAAACGACAGCGGGTAGAATGCTCATGATCATGAATTTGTTTCCATGGGGAAGATAATGATTCATGGGAAAAAAAATGTTGACAAAATTTTCAGAAAATTTTGACCTTTTCATTTGCCACTTTTTACCTGGTAAATGTATCATTTATTGCTGTAATTGCTATTTTGAAGGAGTAATTCCAACATCAGTCTCATAGTATACTATAATGATAAAACTAAAATTAATTGAATGTAAACGTAATTATGAAAGTGAGATTGATTATGATAATTGAAATTTTTAAAATTTTTTAATTTTATGTTCAGACAGTTGATTATCCTTTCTTTTTTGCTAATTTTTTATTTATTTTTAAAATCTTTTAAAAATAATACTAATCACCCCATTTAAAAAATTTTACGAGAATAAATTTTTTTGAACTTATAATTTTCTAATATTAATTCTAATTTTGGATCAGATGATTATCCTAAATCGAAAGATTAAGTGAGTTGTTAAACCTTTCTCCTCTAATCCCGGTCGAACTTAAATTCCTCTTGGATTTTATCTCTCTTTTAAGTTAAAATGACTCCTCGAAATGTAATTGACTGTTTTCCTTTCTCAGACTTGATCGAAAATCAAAGAGAATTTTTCTTCAAATAGCACTGTCGTCTGTCTCTATGCTTGTTTTTTTTCTACATGGAATAGCTCACATACCTAAAATTGGCGTGAAGAAAATTGGGTTTTTTTGAGATGCATCGGTTTTTTTTAATAATTTGGCTTGTACTAAGGAGGTATCTACAAGTATATTATTAAAAAGTAGTACAATTATGATCGATTGGACAGTAAAAGGAAAGCAGAGTTTTGCCAACTTCAATTTCAACTTCGTAAGTTTGGAAGCAGTAAATAATTTTTTATTTTTTAAATGATTTCATCCATTAGTTGTTTTTTTTTTTTTTTGAAAGGATGATTTTATCCATGAGTTGCTTTACAACTAGATAATGTTAAATAATTAATGTACATTTTAGTTGTAGAAAAAAATTAAATTAGGAAAAGCAAACAGGTTATCCCATCGTCGATGATATGCTTTAAATGCAAAACCAAAGAAAGAGAAAAAAACAGAAAAAGAGGTGGTTGTGTGGGTACTCCCTTCCCTAGTACATCAAGGGAGAATGCTAACCAACACGTGAAGTTGGGATCAGTTTTCAGCAGGACAAGCCCACCACCCCCCCTGTCCACATTGACTTCCTCCGCTTTCTCTTCTCTCCCTTTCTTTCTTTCTTCCCTTCCTAGGGTTTTTCTTCTTTCTACCAATGTGCTTACATTTTTGACTCTGACATTTCCCTCCCTGCCTGCATACCTGAACCCCTCATTCACGCTTTTCTTTTTTGGATTAGCTTCTTCCGTGATATTCCAATGACCCCATTATTTCAAGGTATGTTTTTCCACCATGTTTCTTCTTTCTGGGTCTTTCTTTATTGTTTCGATTTGGTCAATCTTTTCTTCTTTTTCTTTTTGTTGATTTTGCTTTGTCTCTGTTTGTTGAATTTTCCCTATTAATTCCATTTCTTGTTTCTACTTTTCTTAAAAAAATGTGGGATTGTTAGTCACTATGATTTTTGGGTTTTCTTTTTTCTCCTTCATTAATGTTGACCCGCTGTAGATTTCTGGGCAAAGAAACCGAGCTTTTAACTGATCCCCTTTCATATGATGAGATCGGAAATGATCATTTCTTCTTGTATTTGGACTCGGCTTCAATAGTACATTTCTTGAATAAGTTATTGCCTTGTTTCTTTCCTGCCAATGTCTGTTCTCTTTTTCAATTTGTTAGTTCTTGGATCACTTCATTCATCCGGTCGATATTTGATAGAATGGTTAACGTACTGAAATTGGTGCACTTTGAAAGATCTTGATTAAAATGCCTAACCCATTTGAAACATTACTATCATGGTTTCATGAAATTGCAAATGCTGACCATCATTCTATGTTCAAAATTCATGAAAGGAAATTTGCTGACTTCTTGACCAATTTTAGTTCAATTGCCTAGATGTTTGACTTCCCAAAATGTCATCTTTACGTTTCATAAACCTTTCATGGGAGTATTAAACTTCTCAAGCATATAATTAGATGTGATTGTTTTGAATTTATTACTGCAAAGTCTGTTAATGAGTTTCATGATTTTACTTTCTTTTTTTTCCCCATTTTTCTACTTATAAACTTCCATTGATTCTTGGGAACAAATGTGAGTGACTAAATATCTGTCTCCGGGAATATATATCTGCTGCTTTTTGCGTCATCATAGCACTTGTCTCTGCCCTCCCCTATTTTTTCCTCAAAAGAAATTATATCTATATTAATCATTTACACTTAAATAATTAAATAGTATTCGGCTGAAACTTCTCTTATTACATTACAAGTTAACTTCATCTCTCTACCAATCCTAGCTAGTGGTTGTCATCTGGATACAATGAAGGCTAGATGCCAAAGTTTACTTCATGCTGATACGAGCAATCTCTATGAAAGAAAAATTTATTGGGCTGCAACAACCTGTCAACCAATGTTTTTATGATTGACTTCTGCAAATAGTGCAGCTCCTAAATTTTTTGTTTGTGTGTCAATAGGTAAGCCTTTTCTATCCCCCTTGCCATTTGTGGGTTCAATATTATGGGTAAGATGCGCTGGGGAAGGTCTGCTATAATTCTGCTGTTCACACATGATTTTGGTAGATAGGGAAACGCTTTGATTGTCATAACATTCTTTTTTTTTTTTTGTCTGATATCTCAGACCATTCCCCATGTGTTGTCCATTGCTAAGAAGTCAGAGAATCATATTGATAGAATCAAGCAATTGTTGTGAGGTTTTGCTTAAAATTTCATTAATGAAGCTAATTAAGCATGGTTTCCTTCTTAATTAATGTCTAGTTAACATTTATCTTTTGCAAGTTGATGTGATGTTACTGTATCCTGCATTTGTAAAATTAAATGATTTTTTTTTTTTTATTTCCAGGCTTTGCTAGTATCTTGAAGGCCTGGAGCATGGACAAAAAAACTGCTGTCTTGTTCTGAAATGCTTGCTACTAGGGATTGAAAAACAAGCTTTTGGATAGTCGTTTTTTTTTCTTCAAAATAAAGATTCCTATATAATAGTAAAAGTGAATTATGAATCAGATGAAATTCCCAAAGCGATACTTAATTGTCATTTTAACCTTTGTCAGCACATGTGTTTGTTATATTGAACGTGTGGGCTTCTCCATAGCATACACAGTTGCAGCTGATGCTGCTGGGATTAACCAATCAAGTAAAGGCACAATACTTTCCACATTCTATTATGGTTATGCTTGTTCTCAGGTGCCTGGAGGATGGGCAGCTCAAAAGATTGGGGGAAGAAAGGTTCTTCTTCTCTCATTTGTATTATGGTCATCAACTTGTTTTTTGGTTCCACTAGATCCCAATAGAGTCACAATCTTGGTTGTTGCTCGCTTGCTTGTTGGTGTGGCACAAGGTTTCATTTTCCCGTCCATCCACACTGTCCTAGCACAGTGGGTTCCACCCCATGAGAGATCAAGATCCGTTTCACTTACAACTTCTGGGATGTACCTAGGTGCAGCTATGGGGATGCTTGCCCTTCCAAGCCTGGTGAAGTTCAAAGGTCCCCAATCTGTATTTCTTGCAGAAGCAGCATTAGGTGTCATGTGGTCTTTGCTTTGGTTTGAATATGCAACTGATCCCCCTCGATCTGAGCATCCAAAAGCCACTGCTGCTGGTTTTGGAGAATCTTTGTTGCCTACCAAAGCAAGTCAGAAGATGAAAGTGGAGAATGGAGGAAGTACTGTCAGAACTGTGAAAATTCCATGGATGAGAATTTTAGTCAGCAGGCCAGTTTGGGCAATCGTGGTAAATAATTTCACATTCCATTATGCGCTTTATGTATTGATGAACTGGCTGCCAACATACTTCGAGCAGGGCCTCCAGCTTAGTCTTCAGGAAATGGGTTCTTCTAAGATGATGCCCTATTTCAACATGTTCATATTCTCAAATATCGGTGGGGTTCTTGCTGACCACTTGATCACCAAAAGAATAATGTCTGTGACTAAAACTAGGAAGTTCTTGAACACTGTAGGATTTATAGTTGCTTCTGTTGCGTTGATGGCACTTCCAATCTTCAGAACTTCCGGTGGAGCTATTTTCTTGTCTTCTGTGGCTCTTGGTTTCTTGGCACTTGGGAGGGCTGGGTTTGCAGTGAATCATATGGATATTGCACCTAGATATGCAGGAATTGTAATGGGTGTCTCTAATACAGCTGGTACTTTAGCTGGGATTATCGGGGTTGATATGACTGGACAGCTTCTTGAAGCTGCTAAAGCTGAATATGCAGATCTTTCTACTCCAGAAAGCTGGAGAGCAGTCTTTTTCATTCCTGGGTTGCTGTGCATATTTAGTTCTTTCATATTCTTGCTATTCTCAACAGGGGAGAGGATTTTTGACTGAAATAAGCCATGTACACATATACTTTTAATTGGTATAGCCATCTGGTCAAGGGTTTCCATATGCAAATCTCTCATTGTGATTGGTGAGCTATTTGATATTAGTGAACGTAAACCCTTCCTGGGAAAGATACATTGAAATTCAGACGACCATAGAAGGTCAAAAGAAATCAACGGAGCAGTAGCGATTAGAAATCATTTTTTTATTGTTAATGTGAATTAGTTGGAGTTCATGTGTCATTTTTGTTTCTACAGTGAGGTGGAGCAGATTTATTTTACACACATGGAAGGATCTGACCTTTGTTACATGCATATAGTCATAGAGACTGATTTTCAATGAGCAGTTGCTCTGAGATCCTAAAAACTTCTTGGTAGTAATATTTATGTAAGTAGAAAAGTTTTAATTTTTCCCCAATGAAATTGAATAATTATTTCACTTTAAATTTGACTAATATTATTATTATTGTTCCTGTTACATAAAATATAATGCATATCAGAGCTCGAGTTATGCAACTCTTTAGTGGTAATTGTTTGATATCACTCTATCAGGAAAGCAGTGAATATCATGCTTCTGATAATCGAAGAACTTGTGTGCTGTTTGTAAAATTTATTTTTCTACTGAACGTTGGCCTTGGGCTTCTTGAATTAATTTTATGTAGAGTTTGAGGGAAATGCAGATTTACAAAAATCTATTGTATATTTTGCTAAAGCTTTTAGACCATGTGAAAATTATGGTGGTGGACCGGCTGCTAGTGGAGGTTCTACATATTTGCTTTCAATACGTTAGTGCCACTTTAAGGCTGACCATCTTACTGGACCACCGTCTACCTCCCCACTTCGAAACTTCAAATCTCACTTTTCTAGCAGCATCCATGGTAGGATGATATCTTTTGCACAACTCGGAGGGACACTGTAAATTCATTGCTTTGATGTCAAACTGAACTGAAAGGTCTTCTTGCCAGGGTAAACTATATGTACCCTGATCAAATTTTCTTTTTTTCTTTCTTCATCTTAGACTGTTAGAACGTGTTTCTACTTGTTTTTTACGGTAAATGTTAGGAAGCAACAAATCCCAACCACAGATTGTATGAATTGCCTGTTAGTGCATGCTGAAACAAATTCTCAACTCTAACCCTGGATCGGAAGACACAGCTGAATTGCTAAAGCAGTGTGGGCCAAACCCTTTGAAACTGGGAGTAGTTTCCATCCATTTCAACCAGCTGAAGTCACCAAACAATGGCAAAGGGGACCTACCATTATTCCACAGGAACTATGCTTTAATAAAATACTGACAATAATAAAAATAAAATATCATAAAGGCCAAAGTAACAACTCATTAATTGTTATGCTTTCCAAAATTCTAAGCATTCTTCATGTTCATGTTCCTTTCTCCCATCTGGGGCGAAAATGGAATTTTCCTTTCAAGCAAGATGGTTTGTTCGTTTCACCAAAGAGAAAATCCAGATTGACACGGCACCAAAAAAAAAAAAATCATTTTTTTAACTTCTTTCTGCACTACCTTAATCACTACTTTCGTCCATGAATCATGATCAATTAAAATATAATTATAAGTTTAAAACCTGGAACCCATTATGATTTATAGCTTAGAAATTCCATTGCAAGTGGCTTCCACTCACTATCACAATTTTATAGCCACTGCTATTGTTTTCAATTCCTATGTGGTCAATCACCCATATGGTATATATGCTTTCCTTTACTTTGTCTTAGAAAGCAGTAATTTGTTGTTTGTCTTCATTATATATTTTTTGGCTGTTCCATTGTTGCTGATAAACAACTGACAAAAGCAGAAAGAGAAACAGTAACACTTGCGGGAATCCAACATCAAAACCAAGTTATACCTTTTCTCTATCTTGAAGTATTCGTATTCCCATTTGCTGCCTATTTATTGTTTCCTTATCATGTCCTTTTTGAGTTCTTTGTATTAGCGGTTCTTGCCAATGCTTTTAGGAAGATTGGTGGTCTGTCCACAGCCACGTTTTCTGAATTCGACCACCATGTCTTTGCTTTGAGCTTGTGGTGAGTGTTAATTCCCTCTTGAAAATCCAGAAACCACCTGAACTTTTTCTTTTGCTTCCTTGCTGTTTATGGGGTATTTGTTGCTTTATCCAGTTTGCTGTCTACAAAGTACAAAATTTCGTGCTTTCTTTGCTATGCCTGTTGCTTTTTGTGTGTTTTTTTAATCAATAAAGCGTTGTGCTGTTGGTTAATTAACTGTTCTTTAGTTCTCCATGCCAGAACTTGAAATGGGTTTGTCTTATTCTTTTTATAGGACTTACTTTAATAAACTAAAATCTTTAAAATGCTTTTTGGTTTCTTTGCCTAGTGGGTCTGTTAACGTTGCTACTTGCCTAGGAACTGAATGATTCTCGTCACTTTCTGTGGATAATACGGTTTTCTGATTAACTTTAGGGTTGTCACTGTTAGTCTGTTAATCTGATTCTAATAATCGTTCAGTTAGACTGTTAATTGATAGACGAATTCGAGTATTCCATTTATTCTTTTTCTATTTGATACTTGAAGATATTTGGTCATTGGTCAGATATGTCATTCGTTATCACCATGAACCTGGTTCTACTGCTGTCAACTTTCATTCTCTTTATTGGAGTGTTTTCAGAAGAGGCTTTGAAGCCTGATGTTGTGAATGTTGGAGCTATATTCTCATTTAACACTATTAATGGGAAAGTTGCAAAGGTTGCAATGAAGGCTGCTGAGTATGATATTAACTCTGATCCAAGTATTCTTGGGGGAAGAAAATTGACTATAGCCCTGCATGATTCTAACTTCAGCTCATTTCTTGGCATGATTGGAGGTATACCTCTTCAATCTCCTCTTATTCCTAACTTTTAATTCTACATATTTTTGGTTAATTTCATTCATATCCCATCACTAGATCTATACACTTAAAATGAATTAGGATAAATGACAATACTTATGATGAATCATTATGCTACTGATATTATACCTCATTTTTGCAAGGAGTACTTTCATGATTTGAGTTTCTTTGCTATTCACAGCATTGCAGTTTATGGAGACTGATACTGTAGCAATAATTGGTCCACAAACTTCAGTGATGGCCCACGTTCTATCACATCTTGCAAATGAACTCCATGTTCCACTATTGTCATTCACGGCTCTAGATCCCAGCCTGTCACCTCTCCAGTACCCTTTCTTTGTTCAAACAGCACCTAATGACGAATTCCAGATGATTGCCATTGCTGAGATGGTTAGTTATTTTGGTTGGACTGAAGTAATTGTGGTTTTTAGTGATGATGATCAGAGCCGAAATGGTATAATCTCATTAGGCGATAAACTTTCAGAGAGACGTTGCAGAATTTCTTATAAAGCTGCACTTCCGCCAGACCCAACGGCCAAAAGAAGTGATGTTGTGAGAGAATTAGTTAAGATTCAAATGATGGAATCTCGAATAATTTTTCTGCACACTTTCTCAAAAGCAGGTCTCTTGGTCTTTGAAGTGGCCAAGAGCCTTGGAATGATGGACAAAGAATATGTTTGGATAGCTTCTACTTGGCTGTCCACTGTTCTAGATTCAACTTCTCCACTTATATCGGAGACAGCAAACTCAATCCGAGGAGCACTGACACTTCGCCCCCATACACCTGACTCGAAAAGGAAGAGGGATTTTATGTCAGGTTGGAACCAGCTGAGTAAGGGTTCTATTGGATTTAACCCGTATGGTCTATATGCCTATGACACTGTTTGGATGATTGCTCATGCAGTGAAGTTGTTACTAGATCAGGGCGGCACCATTTCATTTTCTAATGATACAAGATTAAATGGTCTTGGTGGGAGGACTCTAAATCTTTCAGCATTAAGTATATTTGACGGAGGAAATCAGTTGCTTAAGAACATATTGGAGACAAATATGACAGGACTGACAGGCCCTGTCCAGTTTAATCAAGACAGATCCCTGATAAATCCTTCATATGACATTATTAATGCCATTGAAACTGGGTATCGACAGATTGGATACTGGTCTAACTACTCCGGTCTGTCCATTGTGCCACCAGAGACACTTTATGCAAAAAAGCCTAATCGTTCTAGTTCAAACCAACAGTTAGACAGTGTGGTATGGCCTGGAGGAGAAACAACAAAACCTCGTGGGTGGGTTTTTCCAAACAATGGAAGAGAAATAAGAATTGGAATTCCAAGGCGAGTTAGTTATCGAGACTTTGTCTTGCTAGTCAATGGCACGGACACAGTGCAAGGATATTGCATAGACCTATTCATCGCTGCAATTAGATTGCTGCCATATGCTGTTCCATACAGATTCATTCCATTTGGAGACGGCCATGAGAACCCAAGCTATTATGAGCTTGTCAGTCAAATCAATTCTGGTGTGAGTAGACTACAATGAAAAGTGCAACTGGTTTCTTAAATGATAAAATGATAGATAATTATTTTTCCTATCAATTCTGATATTGTGTTTCTGTAGGTCTTTGATGGCGTGGTAGGTGACATTGCCATTGTGACAAACCGAACAAAAATAGTAGATTTTACTCAGCCTTATATAGAATCAGGGCTGGTTGTGGTAGCTCCAGTAAAAAAGATAAGTTCAAGGCCTTGGTCCTTCTCACGGCCATTTACTCCATTAATGTGGGCAGTCACAGCAGCATTTTTCCTCATTGTGGGATCAGTTGTGTGGATCCTTGAGCATAGAATAAATGATGAATTCCGGGGCCCTCCTAAGCAGCAAATTGTCACAATTTTTTGGTGAGTACGTAAACATATGAAATTCATCTTTGTATGGATGCATTAACTTATGGAGTTCATAAATGAAGAGAAACCCGAAATCTAACTACACATGAGTGGATTCAAGTGTTTATGACAGAGGGTCCTTCTGAATGTTAGAAGAAAATCAAGCATGATTTGAGTAGTTGCTAATAAGTTCTTATGAATCTGTATATCATCATTGTCATTTCTACAAGAAGCATACCATTGTAACCATCTTTGCCTCCTCCCTTCCAAATTACAACCACAAGTACCTCTTTACTTTCATGCCTATCCTCTGTGTAAAAGAAGAAGCTCTCCAAGGAGAGATTCCTTGTCTTTTTAGTGTTTTCTTTAGCTGGGGTGACGAAAACATGTAATTACCACAATAGTAGAGGAGAAAATATGTCAGCTTCTCTCCTTCTCTCTTGCCTTTGCCCTCTTAGAGTGTCAGTATGTTATATGTTCTATTTGTTGTGAATGTTTCAATCACCTGTGAAATTATGGATTTTTTTTCACTACATCGAACTTGCAGCACATGTACAATATATCTAAGCATTCATCCTGATTGTGAGAAATCATATGTGCAAATTTGAAATATAGATAGTTAAAAGCAATTCTGTTTTGCTTCTCTTTCCATTTGACCCCACAACTTATTCATTGTCTTTCTGACTCCTTTAACTGCCTTGCTCCATTTTTCACGTTGCAGGTTCAGCTTCTCTACAATGTTTTTTGCCCATAGTAAGTTCTTTCCATTTTGACAATGTCACTTGTTTCTAACAAGAATCTAGCACTCAGAATTGCCAATGCCCAATGTACCAACTCTGGAGTTTTTGAAATTTTCAGGAGAAAATACAATGAGCGCGCTTGGACGCCTTGTACTGATTGTATGGCTTTTTGTAGTTCTGATAATCAACTCAAGCTACACTGCGAGCCTGACATCAATCCTCACAGTGCAACAGTTATCATCACCCATCAAAGGAATTGAGACCTTAATTACTAGCAATCTACCAATAGGCTTCCAAGTAGGGTCTTTTGCTGAAGGCTATTTAATTGAGGAACTGAATATTCCAAAATCTAGACTTGTTCCACTTGGCTCACCAGAAGAATATGCCCTTGCCCTTGAGAGGAAAAAGGTAGCTGCAGTAATTGATGAGCGACCATATGTGGACCTCTTCCTCTCAGATCACTGTGAATTCTCAATTAGAGGCCAGGAGTTTACCAAAAGGGGATGGGGATTTGTGAGTTATCTTATACGAGGCTAATTCATTTTAATTTTTTTTTCTCTGCATGTTTAGGTAAATCAAGTCAATTTAAGTTGCTTGAATAACAAAATAGAAACCTGGTATATTTAAACACAGGGTTAAGAGTAATTTTCAACAATTTGCCTCCTCAATGTAGCATAATGCCATGATAGAACAGTCAACAGAATATAAAAGTTTGCTCAACTTGATCTTCAACACCCTATCTCGATTCTATTACATGCAGAAAATGATCTCTAGTAATTTTTTTTTTTTTATTTTGTTTTAGGCATTTCCTAGAGACTCTCCGTTAGCCATTGACATTTCTACTGCCATTCTTGCTCTATCCGAGAATGGTGAGCTTCAGAAGATTCATGACAAATGGCTGTCAAGAAGAGCTTGTAGTTCTGAGAGCTCTGAGGCTGAAATAGAACAGCTTGACCTACAAAGCTTCTGGGGGCTATTCCTTATATGTGGAATTGTATGTATTCTTGCTCTCCTTGTGTACTTCTGGTCGATTTTTCGCCAGTTCAGCCGTTACCGTCCTGAGGAACCCAATTCTACCAGCACTGCTGGCTCCCGTTCTGCACGTCTTCAAACATTTCTGTCATTTGTCGATGGAAAGGTACAGGAATCTAAAAGCAGCTCAAAAAGAAAACGTGAGAGTATGCCCTCAAATGATCATCACAAAGAGGATGAATCAACATTTAGATCTGAGAGGATAGGAAGGGACATTTCCCATGAAAGTTAGAATGGTGATACTTGGCTTATCAAATAATCTGGTCAGTTCCAATTGTATACTACTCACACATATCACTTCATCCTTCAGTTCAAAAGAATCCGATTTTTCTGTTTTAGGTAGAAAAAATTTCCCCTTTTGTCTGCTCTACCAGTTCTCCTGTGGTATCTGCTGATTCAATCATCTATACAGAGGCATTAACTTAAAAATGTAACAATGTGATTATGATTCTTAAGGAATTGATTAGTGCAGTTCTCTCTTCAGATGTTACTGAATGTTATTCCCTTTGCCGCCGAGCCTGTTGTCCCTTTTGATACTTGTGTTGGCCATTTTGGTAGTAGAATCAAACACTATAAAAGGAAAATGCTGGAAACCTTTTCAAGTGTCTGATATGATAGCAAAGAGGAGGGGAAATCAGCTGCTTATACCACAAAAAGTAGCAGTAAATGAGATACAGGAAAAGATATAAATGATAATCCTCCAATGCCAAACTTCAATCTCCTTTGCAAAGGTTGTCTTCAAGAATATAACCCAATTTGCAATCGTGTTTACTTGAATTACAATATTCTGAATATATGAGAAGATTTACACTAGTAGCAGTAGTAGTAGTGGTGGTGATGGTGGAATATTAACCCCACCACTGCTATTGCCATTATTCTCCTCTCTCTCTTTCACTAAAACCATGATTTCCCAAATTTTCATCACTGTCCGGATGGCAATGTGCTATCCCCTCTAAAACCCATTAACTTCCCTCCATCCACATCTAAAAGAGTTCCCATTTTTAGATGCAAAGCCTTTCTTTCCATCATCACTACTACTACTACTACTATTACTACGGCCTGAGTGTCACGTTCTGAGATCAAGATACAATACGATCATATTATTTTGAAGTAAAATTTTAAAATAATACGAAATTTTCTTTTTTAATCATTGAATAACTCTTAAATAAAATAAGATTCTCAATAAGTAAAATATTTAGATAACAAGTATCCAAATATTCAATGTCAAGTATTACAACTAAAAGAAACATTACTTCATAAATCCTATTCTCTAAATAATTCTCCAGTATTTAGATTCTTCTAACTCTTCGTAAAACTAATCATACTTAACATTCATATTATCTGTAAAAGAAAAGAAAATAGAGAATGAGCAAATCACAGCTCAGTAAATATAGACTCATACACCTTACCGAATCAAATATCGTTTTCATACATATCATATAGAGTATTCAAAATAGTCATCAAATCATAATATCAAAACATTTCAAGATCATCATTCTATCAAACATTTCGCAAATTCATAAATCAATGTCAAAACATGTTAATTCTTCATTTATAAATCACAAATCACGGTCAAATACATATTTCATACAAATCATGGATCAATGTTTAAAATCATAATAAATCATCGTCATAATAAATCATCATTATCATTCATTTATCATTAACTACGATCACTACTATAACCCGTAACATTGACAGTATCGATAATTTTATCCTCATGACATTGCTAATTATTATAATTCGTTAGCCAGGATCTTACGCTAACTACTATTACCCGTTAGCCAAGGTCGTATGACCATATCTTTGTTAATTACTATTAACCATTATCCAGAGTCGTAAAACTAATTCTGATGTCGATAATTTCACTTTCTAAAGATGTAAAAACGTAGCTATTATAAAATCATTCTTTAAACATAAATCATTTTCTCATTAATAAGTATGATCCATCGTTTATATAGAGAAACGTAAAATAATCATATGCTTGATCTTGTTTTTATACATAAAAAATAATAAAATAAAATATTCATTTATTTAGAAACATACATATATACATAGATTTGAAAACAAGCAAAGTGTGTAAGATTCTACTTACCTCCTTCTGATTCCACCACCTAATTTTTTTCCTCAAATAATTAACAGTCTATTTAAGATAATTTCAACATAACAGTAATTAATCAACCCATTTGAGACCACTTATACCAAAATAATTAAGTTAAATAAGAATTAACTCGAGTAACTAATTTTGACAACCTGTGTTACTTTCACTAAAATAACTATATCTCAAGATATTCAACTCGAAATTCAAATCTTTTTAATGCGTTAGAAACTAGAGTCAATAAGATTTTAAACTATTTATTGTTCATATTGTGATTTTTTGTAAATTAATTATAACAATTTTTGCAATTCACGTCAGATGCTGCTATTAAACAACTTGTATATCTTCTAATAAAAATTACGTATTTATTTATAAGAAACTTCAATTTTAATTTCGCTTGTTTCATTGGAAAGTAGACTCAATAAGCTTTTTAAACATATTTAGCTTAATCTGTAAATCTTTGTATAAAAATTAAGAGGAATTTCGTAATTTCTCCCTGCTGTTACTACTAGGCAACCTACACATCTTTAGGTAAAATCAGATAACTTTACATAGAAAACTCAAATTTGACTCCCGTTTGTTTCATTAGAAAGTAAATTTAACATGCTTTCTAACGATATATAATAATTATAACAATATTTAATCTTTTAATACAAAATATAACTTTAATCCATCACTGCAAACACAAGATTCATATTAAGGTTCATATAAAACAAAATGTTTTTTTTTTATTCTCATCAAATTTTTGTTTTAACAATAAAATCACATTATCAACTTTTTCAACACTTAATTAAACCCTAATTAAAGCTTAAATTATTTGGCCAAGGGATAATAGAAACTTTAAGATTTAACAATCAATACTTCAAAATTAAAAAAAATTATATACTCACCTCTAATAAATAATTCTCCTTATAGATTTGTTCTTACTCTTCACTTGAATCCTTCAATTTATTTTTTTATATAAGAAACAAAAGAAAAATAAATTTGTATTTTTAATCGTCGACTGAAATCTAAATAAATTAACTCTATTAATAAAAAAAATTAAGTTATTTATCAATAAATTTTTTGTATTTTTCAATCTTTATTAAAGAATCCCCATTTATAAAAATACTTAAAAATAATTTTTTTTTCTTTTTTTTTTTTTACGGATATTACACTTCGCCCCTCTTCACCTACGTCAAGTCCTTCACCCCAGCCACAGTAGCCAATCTCGGCCCAGGCTTTGACTTCCTCGGCGCTGCCGCTGACGGCCTTGGCGACTTCGTCTCCCTCAACATCGACTCTTCTGTCCGCCCCCCGGTCTTGTGTCGATCTCAGAAATCTCCGGATCCTCTAAACTCTCATCCAACGCTCTCTTCAACTGCCAGGCATCGTCGCCATTGCTACAATGAAAATGCTCAACATACGCTTCTTTTGCCTTTCCCTCAAATTTGAAAAAGGCTTACCTCTAGGCAGCGGTCTTGGCTCCAGCGCCGCCTCCGCTGCTGCCGCTGCCGTCATGACGTTCAATGAACATTTCGGTACGAAACTCGGAATCGACCAGCTGGTTCTCGCCGGATTAGAATCCGAAGCAAAAGTTTCCGGTTATTACGCCGATAATATAGTTCCGGCGGTTATAGGAGGTTTCGTTATAATCAAATGCTACGAACCTCTGGAACTGAAACGCTTAGTTAGTGTTCGGTTTTAGAAAATAGAGTTTTTTTTTTTTTTCATTTTTAAGTGAGGTTTGATTTCAAAAAAATTGAATTATTTTTTATTTTTATTATTTTAAAAATAAAAAATAAGAATTAAAATATATTTAATAATTAAAAATTAAATTAAATTTTTAAAAATAAAAATAAATAAAATATGAAATATATATTTTTAATTATGAAAATAAAAGATACTTTTTATTTTTAATTTTTTACAAATTTTCATATTTATAATTAAATGTAATTAATAATAATATTATTGGATATTTTATTTTTTATATTTTTAAAAAATAATTTTATTTTTATTTATTAAATAATTTTTTAAAAATATAAAACAAAAGTTATTTAAAAAAAAAAAAACATTTTCTTAAACCAAACACAGCTTTAGTTACCTCTCAAAATTAGGAACTCTTTTTCATTAAGTTAGCCCGAGGCTCCCACCGAGAGAATGCGGGCGGCTTTGCCCGCGGAAATCGGGATGCCACACCACGTGTGGAATTGTTGCCAAGCGGGTGCATTGGTAGCTTCGGTATTGGAGGGTATCGTGGCAGGTTTGGGGAAAACATTGTCCTCTGAAAAGATCGTAGAGCCGAAACGGACGCCGTTGATTCAGGGGGTAGAAGGGGGCGATCAAGGCCGGGGATTTTGGGTGTACGATTAGTAGGGTGGGTGAAGCAGATTGGGCAAAGAATGGTTGGAGGCGTTTCTAGAAGAAGGGAATTTGAGGTCGGTGGCTATGATTAAAAAAGGCTTGACAGAATTGACGCTATGCTCATTGACAGTATTCCCAGAAAAAGATCAAAAACTTATTTTTGGTTGAGGAAAGCTTTTAATCAAATTATGAGATATGAAAACATTTGGTTTTGATTTCAAGAATTGTAGCCAAATTGCAACAAATTGAGAAACAAATTTTACGTTTTTTTTTTCTTTTCCACATAAATCAAACCGCCTAGTTGCCAGCACCTACTAAAATGAAAGGGAAAAGGATAAGAAGAGAAAATCTGAAACACAGATCAAAACTTTCAACATCCATCAAATAAACCTGCAACTCAGTTGTTCTTGGCAGCTGCAACCTGCTTTGCACCAACGGAGAAGAATTCTGTAATAACTTCAAGAGGCATGCCTTTGGTTTCTGGAACTTTTAAGAAGACAAACACCAATGATATAACACACACGACTGCATACATGCCAAAGACACCAGCAAGACCAACTGATTTGAGCAACACTGGGAGTGAATATGTGACAATGATGTCACAAATCCAAAACGTAAGGGCGCATATCGCGATGCAGATGCCACGAACACGCGTTGGGAAGATCTCGGCACAGAGTATGTTGGGAATCGGCCCAAATCCCATGACGAAGAAACAGAAATAAAGCACGACACTAACAGTTGAGATTGCTGCGTGCACAACGTTCCCCATTTTCACAACACTTCCAGTGACTAAGACCAGAAGAGATAGTATCAGGACAGGAATTGTGGTGAGTAGCAAACTCCTGCAACAGAGGGAGATGGTAGCAATGATTTACTCATGACAACAGATAAAAGTAAACAAAGAACCTTCCTTTGCAACTTTTAGATTAAAAGGCTTCTACGATATTCTTTTTTGACTGGAACGATTGTTAGTCTTGTTGCACAGACTCAAAGGGCAACGCTGTTGATGACCAGGGACATGAATGCTACCAGTCACCATGGACAGCATTCACTGACACAATACAAGATTGGATGCCAAGGGGTAAAGGATAGTTAGCATTTATTCCTAAGCACTTAATGCTACTAAGCATAAATACATGTTTCCATTTGAATAGGTAATACAAGCAAAGACCTGGTTAATTTTACAATATCACAAGATCTCTTATATTAACAGAGAATAGTCATAAATAAGAGATAAAAGCAGAGACTTAACATTGCATATCAGCTCTACAGCTCCAGGAAAACCAGAATTCCTTTTGGCATTTCTCAGTTCTTTTTTACTATGTAGATTTCCATTAAGGACTAGCAGCTTTTAGACTCGGCATTTAATAAAGGACAAATTTTTCTGACTTTGGTGGTTATTCAAGGAAAACCACATTGATCATAAGCCATCCAGCCAAACCTGACTGAATTGTGACGCTTAAATTGTAGGCATGGCATCATCCAATGAAATCACAAAATTCCAGTTACAAAACTAACCACTTCTTTTTCTATGCTATCAAATAGACACTAGTAACTAACAAATCCAACACCATAATAT